ATCTGTCAGACTATGTGAAATTTACTAATGAAATAAAATGTCACTGTTTTAACATAATTTAAGCAAAGTATGTAATCACAGACTTAGAAGAAATCTTCAAGAAGAGCAGTCTGCTTCTTCTAGACTGACCGCCGGGACCATGAATTTCATGTTTGATCTCATTTGATCTGGTCTCATACATTTCTTGGCGTGAATCCCGCTAGGACTAATTATTAAATAAACATGTAAAGTGACTATATATCAGATCTCAAAATGAAACCATGACTTGAAAAAAATAAGAAAGTGGTTCCATTTGGTCCCATTTAGTCCCATTCTTAGCATAAAGTTACTATTTTTAGACATTTTAAGGTTTTTTTTAGACTATTTTTAATTTTTTAAAAAGTAATGCTTTTTGATAACACTTAAATGAGATTTAAAGTCATTTAAATCAATAAAAATAATTTAAATTGAGAAGTGAAAATCATGGTCTCATTTGAAAAATGTGACAAGAGTAGACAGTAAGTCTCACTGAGACAGTATGAAACTACTATTTAATGTTAGAACCGTGTAATGAGATCTGTTGAATTGATAATGAGACTATCAAAAATTCTGATTCTGATTTCAGACACGGTCACACGGTCAGTCTAGCTTCTTCACACAGTTAATATTATAGATGATAATATCATTCTAGGTCTTTTATAATTGAGAGAAAACAATTCTCTCATTAACTAAGTCACTCAGATATGACAGTATCATCTCACTAATGAAGAGACAGTGATAGAGAAATCTGAAGACTTTCATCAGAAGAATCTTGAGAAAAAGATTGAGTTGATATACTGTGTAGTAGATGATTGAGTCTTGAGAATAGATAAAGAAGTCATCATTCTTACTGCAAGATTAGCAACAGTATTTATCATTGAAGATAAATGTACATAATATCTCTTTATAAATTTTAAGAATGTCTTTTTAAAAAGAGAAGCAGTAAAGTTTTCTGACATCAAGATATGATATAAGATTTGTCTTAAAGACAGTGTAACAGTGCTGTATGAGTCTCTTTACAACTTGTCTGTAAAGAAATTGAATGTTCTGCACAAATATCTTGAAGAAGCACAATCAAAGAACTGAATATATTTATTAAAGAGTTCAGCAGAGACATCTATACTCTTTATACTTAAGAAGAATGATAGGCTACACTTGTGTGTAGACTACAGAGATTTTAATAAGATGATGATTAAGAATTACTATTCATTACTGTTAATTGATGAGATAATTGATTGATTATCTGAAGCAAAGATGTTCTCAAAGATTAATATATAAGATGTCTATCATAGAATCAGAGTTAATAAAGACAATGTTTGAAAAATGACTTTTCATATCAAGTACAGTAATTTTAAATATCTTGTTTTATCTTTTGATCTTTGTAATACTTCAGTTATCTTTCAGATCTATATAAATAAGGCACTGTAAGGTCTTATTAATGTCTTCTACATAGTATATCTGAATGATATTTTAATCTTCTTGAAATCAGAGAAAGAATATGATACTCATATTCAAGAAGTGTTGAGTCACTTAAGACAGTATCAACTCTATACAAACACTGAAAAATACTTATTCTACATACAGAAAATTGATTTCTTAGATTATATTATTAGAGTGAATGACATTTCAATAGACAGAAGCTGAGTCTCTGTCATTGAGAACTGACTGACATCACAGATATATCATGAGATGCAGATGTTTCTAGAATTTGTGAATTTCTACACATGATTCATCTATGCATATTCATAGATTACTGTCTCTCTTACAGATCTGTTAAAGAGAAGTGTGAAAGACAGAAAAATAAGACTATTTATTCTCACTCAAGACACTGTGCAGATGTTTACAGAATTGAAACAAGCTTTCACAGATGTTATAATACTGAATCACTTTAACTCTGACTTACTCAGTCAGTGTGAGACTGATACATTCAGAAATGAAATCTATGAAATCTTTTCACAGTTAACACTGAAGATCTTTCAATGTTGAAAGAATCAGAGAATAATTACTTCTGAGAAAATAGACAATGAATTGTCTATAAGAGAAGGCTTTTTTATAAAGTTTATAAGACACTGTGAATAAAGATCAGTGATCTTCTTCTTCAAGAAGTTATCACTCACACAGAGAAGATATGATACTCATAATCAGAAGATATTAGTAATTGTTAAATTCTTTAAGATCTGATAATCTTATCTTCAGAGTAATAAGTACTCAGTGCAAGTTCTCACTGATTATATAAATCTATGTTACTTCTTGACAATAAAGAGCTTGATAGAATGTCAAGTCAGATGAGCAGAGCTGCTTTCAGAGTATAATTTCTATATCTGATATTATTCAGATCAGTTTAATCCTGCTGATACACTGTCTAGATAATCTGATTATAATATTATTAATGTAAAGAAGAATTTTATAAAAGAATTTCTATCATCACTGTAGAAGAAGCTGACTGCAGAGAATTGAGATTCTCTGAAGCTCAGAAACAGCACTGAAGAGACAGCTGCACAACTTAGTATAAAAGATGAAAGAAAACCTGAATCTCTGTAGAGAACTGACACTGAAGATTATAAGCTTCTTATATTATATTTTATAATTATTGAATTGATAAAGAATGAAATGATCTATAATCTTTCAATCTGACTACTTTTGAAATTTATTAATAAGTTATAGAAGAGGAATATCTCTACTGCAGCTTGAATTCAGAAGTTAAAGAAGAAAGAGTCTGATTTAAACTTGAAAGAGACAGACTCTGAGCAGAATGATACTGCTAAGAAATCAAGTTATTGATAACTAGAAGAATATAAACTTCTACTGCTGAATAATTCAGTCTTTGTCTCTTATAGCAGAGTGATGTATTAGAAGTTATTGAGAATTTATCATAATAATCTCTATACAGAGCACTTCAGATTAGAGAAGACTAAGAAGCTTCTAAAATATAAATTTATTTAAGACAAGCTTCAAACAGATGTCAAAGAGTATATTGAAACTTGTAATATCTATCAAAGAATAAAGATCTCACAGTATAAGTAATATAATAAGTTAATATTACTACCTATTTCAAAGAGCTCATGACAGAATCTATTAATGAATTTCATAGTTAATCTGCTGAAGTTAACAAGAGTCAAAGAATATAACTTGATTTTAATCATTATTAACTACTTTACAAAGATAACTAGATATATTTTTATTTATAAAAAGATTAAAGTCTCTGAATTAACTGACCTGTTTTTAGATATTATTATTTATAATTATAATACTCTGAAATTGTTAATAACAGATTGAGAATCTCTCTTCATCAGTAAATACTGATCAGCTTTTTACTATTATTTTATAATAAGATATCTTCTCAGTACTGCATTTCATCTGCAGACTGATTCTCAGACTGAATATCAGAATTAGATACTAGAATAGCATCTTTAAGTGTTTTATTTATATTATCAGAATGATTGACTCAAACATCTTCTAACTACTAAATTTATATATAATAATGTAAAGAATGTAATCTTAAAGATATCTTCTTTCTATACTTATTATAAATATAATTCTTCATTACTCAGTGATATTGTGAACAATATTTTAAAGAGAAGAATAGATAGTCAGAATATTAGATAGATACAGAGAATAAAGTATTTCTCAGTATTAGAAGTAAAAGTGAGATTAAAACTTTTAAATAAAATTTATAAGAAGATAGTAAGAAGCATCTACTGTACTCAGAAGTAATAGATAAAATACTATAATTAAAAATATCTTTCAATGAAGTTCTTGATAGAGAATTAAGTACTACTTTCAGCAAAGAATATCAAGATAATAAGACTGTGTAAGAAGCTCAGTGAGTAGTAACTAGAATCTTTCTCAGTAATAAGAGTGATAAGTAAACAGATATATAAGTTAAAATTACTTATAGAATTGAAATTAATTCATTCTGTTTTTCATATTTTCTATTTAAAGCTCTATAAGTAACACTCTGAGACAGAGCTGTCTTGACTGAATAATATTAAGATTGAGAGTGATACTGAATATCTTATAAAGAAAATATTGAATAAGTGAATATATTATAATAAGCTTCAATATCTAGTTAAATAAGAAGATTATTCATTGTCAGAGAATTTATAAAAATTACTTAAGTATTTGAAAAATGCTGAGAAAGAGATTATAAGTTATAAAATAGCTAGTAGAGACTGCTCTGTTATATATCAGAGATATTAAGTAAGAATTACTATTTAAAACTTCTTATTTTTCTCAAAGAGTTTTTTAGAGATAATCTTATAATAATGAGCTGATATCTTATAGACTCTGTAACACTCTTCTTCTATTTTCTCTCAAAGAGTTTTTTAGAAGTTTAATGAGACTATACAAGTGTAAAATTCCTGAAGCAGTTAGAGAAAAGAAATATTAAAAATTAATAAAAAGATTAATATTATTAATCTACAGACTGCTGCTATTCTAATATAGCTGTAGTCTGCTGAAAAAGTAAAAAGAAGAATCAGAGTCTACTTATTAATAATCACACTCTTATCAAACTCATTCTTCACTGTTGAAGTCTCTGACATTAGTATCTTTATCTGCTGAGAAGTCAGTACTGCAGTACTGTAGAGAAGCATGCTGTAGAAGAGTATAAGAAATACTTAAAGTATTAACTTATTAATTTATAAAGTATCTTAATTATCTACTTCAATTGAAGTGAGATTCTCTTTAATCAGTGATTAGTCTCTGTGATACTTTTAATAACAGTGCTGACTAATCTCTTCTTGAGACTGGTCATTCTGAGGTGTTTTTTTATCTTGAAGATTCATGCTTTTATCTTCTTTTGCAGATGAGTAAGAGAGATCTTCTCAGCCTTGATGAAATTCATCAATACTTGAAGCTCTGAGACTCTTACTCTGTACTGCTTGAGTATCTAGGCTTCTTGTCAGAGCTGACATGACATCTTCCTGTGGAGAAATACTTACAGAGAGACAGGAGTTGTTGTTGCAGGTACAATGAAAACAATGAGAGTGAGAGGAGGGGCAGGTGTATAAAATCCCCCCCTCCTTCAGCTGCTTAGCGCAGCGCAGGCAGGTGGCGGTGCTGGCCAGAAGCCGCACCGGAGCCTCTCCACGGGGAGAAGGCAAAGGAACCGCGGGACCCTGCGGACCCAACCCAGCGGACGCAGACGCACCGGCCGGCAGAAGGGACGACACCTCACTGCAAGGCACAGCAACTACCGCCGCGGCCGCAAGAGAAGCAGGAGGAGGTGTGGCAATGAGAGCGGTGCTCCCGCGGCTCATTGACGCCGCTGCCTCCAACCTGGCTTTCTTGGCAGTCACGGAGGCCGCAGCCGCACCATGAATACATTTGTTATTCACTAGAAAATGTCAGAATAAGCCTCTTATTAGACTGGCCGCCGGGACCATGAATTTCACGTTTGGTCCCATTTGGTCTGGTCCCATACATTTCTTGGCGTGAATCCCGCTGGGACTGGCTATCAAAAAAACAGGTAAAGTGACTATATATCAGATCTTAAAATGGAACCATGACTTGAAAAAAATGAGAAAGTGGTCCCATTTGGTCCCATTTAGTCTCATTCTTGGCATAAAGTTACTATTTTTAGACATTTTAAGGTTTTTTTTAGACTATTTTTAATTTTTTAAAAAGTAATGCTTTTTGATAACACTCAAATGAGATTTAAAGTCATTTAAAGCAATAAAAATAATTTAAATTGAGAAGTGGAAATCATGGTCTCATTTGGAAAATGGGACAAGAGTAGACAGTAAGTCTCACTGGGACAGTATGAAACTACTATCTAATGTTAAAACTGTGTAATGGGATCAGTCAAATTGGTAATGGGACTATCAAAAAATCTGGTCCTGGTCCCAGACACGGTCACACGGTCAGTCTACCTCTTATTGTCTCTCAAGAATGATGCTCCCATGCACTCACTATTACAGGTGAGAGGGAGAAGAAAAATGTGTCACAGAGAGAGAGATCTTTTTGAAAAAATCCTGTCACTACTGTTAGCTTTGTCTCTAAAATATATCACTTTTACAGGGAATTTCATATATAGAATGAAATATGTTAAGAGATCTATAAGTCACTTATTAACTATATTTTTCATATTTTAAATTAATATATAAGAAACTCACTTATCACATGTTTAATTTAAATGAAGATGAAAAAAGAAAGATCTATACAGTCAGCAGAACAACTTATCTATTTCTTTATACAGTATACATACTGTTAATCAGTTGACAACTGTTACTATATAATAAAGATAATTTCTAATCTGATAATCTTAAGAGTATAGAGACTATACTCTTAAAGAGAAGAATATTATCATACTCTCAGCTGTGTTAAAACTCTGTTACAGTTTCACATAGTTTATTACTTTTATACAGATGATTTCATTCTGTCTGAACTAGTTTTCAATCACTCTATAATATCATTCAGATATATTATAGAAAGATCTGATTAATAAATATAAAAATCTCACTTCTATACAAGATCAGTAGATTACTCTTTCTTAGTAATAAAATACTACTGAGATATCACTCTGACTATTCTCACTTATAAAATAAGAGAAGAGTATCTGTTCATTATCTATATAGAATAGCTAGATGCTGACTCTTTATCAAAGAAGTCAGTGATTTGTTTTTCTTCTACTGAAATATATATAAAAGTTACTATATGTTTTATACAATCTTCTTAGTATACTAAGTATTATATCTGTAATATTCTCATAATAACTCTGTAGTCTACAAGCTCACTATTCAAGCAAGATAGTCAAGCTCACTTATACAGCTTCTTAAACAACTATCTCTATATGATATCACTGACTAGTCACCGCTTCAGTTCCGTCATATTACAGCTCATTATCTTATTCTATGATGTCTGGTGACTGTCAGTCAGAAGTCAGTTGAGAAGAGTATAAATCAGTGATAGTGCAGTGAAGCAAGCTTGTGTAAAAGATATTATAAATCTCTGATAATATGTTAAGATAGTAGTTATAACTATCTAGAACTTCTATCACTTCATACTTAATATAGTAGTAATTCAGTGTATGAGATGAATATGTAATCTATATATTCTTAAGATTTAATCATACTAAGTCTTCTATCTTATACTGCTTAGCAGAGTCTCAGTGAATATTGATTTAATTCTCTTAATCTTGTTTTATAACTGTTATAATAACTTCTGCTCAGTCACAGATATCTCAGAGCTTTATTACTATATTATCAGTGATCTGAATCAGACTGCAAGAGTTCAGTATGAACTGTATAATCTCTAGAAGATTTAACATGTTCATATAATAACTATATATAAGAAAGAATGAGCTTACATCTGTTGAAACAGTATCTTAATCATTGATAGTAATCTCTGTATATAGAAGCAGATAGACTGACCGTGTAACTATGTCTGAGACTAGAATCAGATTTTTTAATAGTTTTATTATCAATTTGACTGATCTCATTACACAGTTTTAACATTAGATAGTGATTTTATACTGTCTCAGTGAGACTTACTGTCTACTCTTGTCACATTTTTCAAATAAGATCATGATTTTCACTTCTCAATTTAAATTATTTTTATTGCTTTAAATGACTTTAAATCTTATTTAAGTGTTATCAAAAAATGTTACTTTTTAAAAAATTAAAAATAGTCTAAAAAAAACCTTAAAATGTCTAAAAATAGTAACTTTATGCTAAGAATGAGACTAAATGAGACCAAATGAGATCACTGTCTCATTTTTTTCAAGTTATGATTTCATTTTAAGATCTGATATATAGTCACTTTACATGTTTTTTTGATAGTCAATCCCAGCGGAATTCACATCAAGAAATGTATGAGATCAGATCAAATGAAATCAAATGTGAAATTCATGATCCCGGCGGTCAGTCTAGAAGCAGATCATGTTAATTATCTTATAAGTAATTGCAGAACTTGCAGAGATAATTCTTTACAGTCTGAATTATCTGTTCTGACATATTATCAGTCTCAGAGTGATAGACAGTTAACAGATAGTATATAATCTTGAGAATTTAACAGATTCTTATTCAGAGAGTGCTCATGAATTAACAGCTTTGATTCAATACTATCAATCTCAGTAATTCATATATCTGATAGAACAGACTCTGTAGAAAAGCTTCAGTGACTTATTTAGTATTCATCTTATCACAAGATTTTAATATTACATCTTTGCTTAATCAATTCATGATGATTAGAATGTTTCTATAATTCTTACTCTTAGATAGATTGACAGTGAAGTCAATTGCTACATCTTATCAGATTCTATTAGAAATATCAAGTAATTTCAGTAGATTTTGTCTACAGTTGTTTTATGAGATAATAGAAGAACAGCAGTTACAGTTTCTAACAAAGTATCTGATACTGTTTAATATCTCAGATTAATAGAACTCTTAGAAGATTATTCTATACAGTTATTCACAGTCTGAATAATCAGTTATATACAACTCATGCATCTCTTGCATTATTCAGATATATAAGAGTTCAGAGTGAGAGACTCAGTGTCATTCACAGAATTGTAGAGTATTATTATCATCAATTAAACATTCTGAGATATTGATTCTTACATATAATTCTGAGAGAAATTGAGATGCTTCTTGTTATACTGCTTCAGTGAGTGCTTGAAGAAGTTCATCAGTTTAAGCTGCTGTATGCTATAGCTCATCTAATGTAGATTTAAGAGAAGTTAAGATATCAGTGACAGTTCTAATCAGAGAAGCATGTATAGTACTGTAAGCTGTTTTATCTTAATCAACTAATATCTTCAGATTCAAGAGCTGATACTCATAATTTATTCAGTAAGTATCTATTCTCTTCTCAAATAAAACATAGTCTGTGAAAAGTAAGTATTATACTAGATTATAATAACTAATACACTCTCAGCATGCAGAGCTGTATACACACAGTATATACTGAACTGAGAGACTGTATGAGTTACAAATCAGTGATAGTATCTCAGAGAGAGCTGTGTAGTATTAGAAAGTTATAATTCTCAGTTATATATATAGAGAATAAATCACTGCAGTAAGTATATATATATTATATAAAAGTAACACTTTTTAATAATACTCAGTCTCTGATATTATGAAAATAGAGTCTCTCTGTGAGATCTGTTTTTATCAGAAGTTGAGAAATCTTATATTTCTCAAAATTATCTTTACATATCTTATTTATAAAATTAATGAGAGAAATTATCATTTTCAGTATTCTACTTTTAATATTATTCAAGTGATAGCAGAGTCTACTCTAATAACACTTTTTAAGTGTATATTTTCTAATTATTAACATTTCTACAGATATATACTGATTATTTATTAAATAATATTAAAATAATAACTTATTATAGCTGTATTATTCTTACTGTGAGAAATATATAATTAATAATAAATATTATAAAGACTCTGAAAAGTGAATATTTTAAAAGTACTACAGTTCTACAATCTTGATTTTTTTATTTTTTATTTTTTTTTCTTTTCTTTTCTTTCTTTTTTTTCTTTCTCTTTTTTTTCTTTCTCTTTTTTTTTCATTGTAATTTGTTCTTGTTTTTATTTTTTTTTTTTTATTTTTTTTTTTTATATTTTATATTTTTTTTATAATTAAAATTATATAAATTATAATCTATATTTAGAAAAGTAATGATATTTAATAATACTCTCTATTAAATTTTCAATAAATGAGTACTATATTATAATATTATATAAGTAAGAAATGATTTCATAATCTTATTTAACATTATTATTAATAATAAGATCAGAATAAAAATATAACTAAGAATTTAAACACATTTTTTATCTAAGACTAGATTTTTATTTGAAAAGTAAATCTGAGATCTTTAATATTTGAAATAATATAATTTGAGATTAATGTAATAAATATAAATTATAATCAGAAGTAATACTTTTAGATAATATAATAACTGTAAAGTTTGATTCTAATCTCAGACACAGTTACATAGTCAGTCTATATACTATTATATATATGTATAAATATTCACTTTAATTATTAATTCTTATACTTTCTCTTTCTTTTCTTCTTTAATGTTTTTCACTTTGTTATATAAGATCTATAAATATTATATCAATTTATTCAGTGTAGATCTCTTACAGAGAGAATGAGAATTCTCACAGACTAAGCAGCAGTGCATGAAATAATTATATTAATAAATATATAGATTGAAATGAATGTAGAGAAAAGTATAAAGAATGTAAATATAGTAGAGAATGTCTGTAAAGAAAAGAATGAAGATTAATATCAGAGCTGTACAGACTGCAGAGCTGACTGTTCATATGAATTCATTTTAATAAGATGCATATGATATCATGTGAGATCATGTTACAGAGCATTTTACTTAGAAAAGTGAGTTTTTCTATAATATATAGAGAGATAATAATAATAATAATAATAATAATACAAGGGCACCTAACAAGGGTAGAAAATACTATCGAAATGAGGATAAACCATGAATAGAAAAAAGACCCCGGGCTGGAAGAAGACGGGGGGATATAGTATGAAAATGTGAAAGAGAGAAAAACATAAAATGTTCATTCATGTCATTTCATTTCATTCTTTCATTCATTCACTCATCATCTGGTGGTAACTCATCCTCAAGGTACCGTACTAAAGACACTCGCATTTCCGTCGCATCGTTCCCTCGCAGCACATCGCTCACAAAATGAGCCTCAACTTGCATTTGGACCTGGAGCAAAATTCCAGGTTTTTTATTAATATTTATTCGTAGCTCGGCATTTTCCGCCACTAAATGCCCGTTGTGGTCCCCAATGAGACAAAACCACTGCGCCGTAGCGGGATAGAATTCAAGGGAAAAAAGAAAAAAATGCAGATGGAAATGCCAAATTAGAGGGAGAGGAAGAAAAAAAGAAAGCTCACCATCTCAAGGGCCCCCCGCAGCACCCCGCATAGGATATTTGAAAACCACAGCTCATCCTGGGCCCGTCCGTCATCCGGCAGCTCTACAAAGTCTGCTAGCGGGTTCTCTTCAAATATGAGCGAGAAGGATTTATTATCGCTCGTCCAGTTCGTGATCGTCGGCGTGATGTTGAGGAATATCTTGAATCCGACCTGTAGTAGCGCAGTTATAATGGATTTAGCTTAGTTATTATATTTATATATATATTATAGATAGATATAAATAATCCCACCTTCGAGATCATATCCGCAGTCTCTCTGAAATTCGCACAGCGGCCCGTGCCCGATTTGGCCAGGAAGTCTTCGATTAGCCGCATGCCGATGTTATATCCCATCTTATCTAGCTGCTTGTTTACTTCCACATAGTCGCTGTCGTAGTCGTTGCAGAGTTGCGCGACGATAGTGCCGTATGTCAGTGTCACGAGCTCCGCGTTGACTTTGTCGACTTTTGTTCTGGATTTGTTTTTGACGTTTAATGTTTGGTCATTTTGAGCGTGCAATACCGTTTGTATGTTGTGAGAAGAAGGAACGAAGGAAAGGAAATGGAAAAAGGAAACCGGGGCGTTCGGGGGATCATCTTATCTTAGGGGGGAACTCACTTCCATGTCCTAGAATAAGAAACAACTAGAGGTTAGTACGGATGTAAGACCCATATATTTTGATATATTGTTTTCGCTAGACATCATAACGAGAAACGTACTCTTCACCGATCCTTGACGTTGACGTCTTGGTCGAGGACATCTTTATTATATATGCAACGAAGCTCTATCGCTAGCTATCTTATCGCCGCAGAAACGGGGTTGGAGGTTCGTATCGTTCGTCTCGGGAATTGTTGTAGCGGGGAAATATGGAGCAGGAACTAATGGATGTAGTAATTGTCCCACGCACGTCACATATTTCAACCACAGAAAATTAGTCGCGCTATACAACAAAGTAGGTGGGGTAGTGTTGGTATCAGGAGAATCGATGGATGAAATGTTGTTGGACACTCTCTGGGTGGAAGAGGATGGATTACATAAGTAAGCCCGCTTCTCTTGGAGGATAACGTTGTGTGTATACAGAAAACTTGACCTCGCTAAGTGCGCCACTTGACCTCATTACATAATCATGACCCCGACCTCGCATAATACAGTAATAATCAGTTGGTAATTGACTTTCAATCTTTCAATCCACTCATTCATTCAGCTCATCAATCAATCAAAGCATGTATAGCTGATTCATAATCAATTAAATAAACAGATAAATTTATATAGAATATAAAGAGATATTTTACAGAATTTTAAAATATATCAAGATAAAAATATTTAATAATTAATTTTAAATTGATTTTAAATTGATTCTGAATTGATTCTGAATTAATTATAGTAATAAAAATAAATTCAATTTATATATTTAAGTAATTAATAATTGATTGAAAATCAGTTGATAATCAATTTAGTATTATTATTAAATTCAAGAATAATTTCAGTATTAAATTGATTTTGAATTGATTTTAAATTAATTTTAAATTAATTATAGAATTGATTATTAATTAATTATAGTAATAAAAATAAATTCAATCTATATATTTAAGTAATTAACAATTTGTAAGAGATCTACACTGAATAGATCAGTATAATATTGATAGATTTTATATAACAAAGATAAAAATGTTAGAGAAGAAAAGAAAGAGAAAGTGTAAGAATCAGTAATTGAGATGAATATTTATACACATATGTGATAATGTACACAGTGAAGCTTCAGAGTGAAAGAATATACATGTGTTTATAGTAGCTGAGAATTGATGATTGAAAATGACTGAGAATCAGAGTATATACTACACACATTTGTAGCAGCTGAGAATCAGTGATCAGAAATGACTGAGAATTGAAGTATATACTACACACATTTATAGCAGTCATGAATTGATGATCAGAATCTATAGAGTGTAATAAAATAGTCTATATAATTAATCAGACACAGTCTGTCACATTAGTTCTCTCTTTTCAGAAGTAGTTCTCATTGATCAAGAACTGCTGTTATTATTATTATTATTATTCTTCCATTATACTCATATGCAAGCGGAGCTTATGATGAGTCCTTGCATGATATTAAATACAGGCCAAGTGTTGGTTATACAGAAGGAAATACAGGTGTTGAGACCACGCCAAGATAACAAGAACATAGGAAATACAAAGAAGTGACAATTAGATACATGCGATAATAACTTCCCAGCTCAGAAACATAGAGTGATTTATTGAAGTGATTTGTACACCTCTGTATTTATTAGAAACCTGAGGTGCTTGAGTTCTGGATTTAATGTATCCCCTGCGGGTTTCGAACCCACACACCTTGGTTTCCCACACCAAGGCACTACCAGGTGGCCGCATTAACCATTCGGTCACCAGGGCACAAGAACTGCTGTTTCAGATAACACAGAACTCAGAGTTCAGATCAGTTAATTATAGCTGATCTATTTCACAAGATATTATCAGCTGCAGCTGTGAGATCTCTTATCAAGAATATCTTCAATCTCTTACTCAAGCTTATTATCTTCTTCTATAATGTCTGACAGCTGTCAGTTAGATATCAGCTGAGAAGAAAACAGATCAGTGACAGCACAGCAGAGCAAGCTCATGTGAAATACATTATAAATCTCTGATAATGTGTTAAGACAATAGTTGTAACTATCTAGAACTTCTATTACTTTATACCTGACATGGCAGTAATCTAGTATACAGAATGAATGTGTGATTTATATATTCTTAAGATTTAATCATATCAGATCTTCTATTTTATATTGTTTAATAGAGTCTTGATGAATATTAATTTAATCTTCTTAATCTTATTTTACAGTTATTATAAAGACCTCTGCTCAATCACAGACATCTCAGAGCTTTATTACTATATTATCAGTGATCTGAATTAAACTGCAGAGATTCAGTATAAACTGTATAATCTCTAGAAGATTCAACACTTTCATATAATATTTATATGTAAGAAAGAACAGACTTATATCTGTTGAAACAGCATCTTGACTGTTGATAGTGATCTCTGTATATAGAAGAAGATCATGTCAATCATCTTATAAATAATTATAGAACTTATAAAGATAATTCTTTACAGTCTGAATTATCTGTTCTGATGCATCATCAGTCTTAAAGTGATAGATAGTTAATAGACAGTGTGTAATCTTGAGAACTTGACAGATTCTAGTTCAGAGAGTACTCACAAATTAATGACTCTGATCTGATACTATGAATCTCAGTAATTCATATATCTGATAGAATGAGCTCTGTAGAAAGACTTCAGTCACTTATTCAGTATTCATCTTATTACAAGATTTCAATATTACACTCTTACTCAATTGATTCATGATAATCAGAATGTTTCTATAACTCTTACTCTCAGATAGATTGATAGTGAAGTTAATTATCACATCTTATCAGATTCTATCAGAAATATTAAGTGATTTCAGTAGATCTTTTCTATAATTCTTTCATGAGATATAGAGAACAGTAATTGCAGTTTCAGATAAAGTATCTGATCCTGTTAATATTCAGATTATAGAATTTCAGAAGATCATTCTATCAGTTATTCACAGTCTGAATGATCAGTTATATACAATCATGCATCTCTGCATTATCTGAATGTGTAAGAATTCAGAGTGAGAGACTCAGTGTTATCACAGAATCATAAAGTATTATTATCATTAATTAAATATTCTGAGATGTTAATTCTTACTTGTAATTCTGAGAGAAATCAGAGTACTTCTTATCATACTACTTCAGTGAGTGCTTAAAGAAGTTTATCAGTTTGAGCTGCTGTATATTATAGCTCATCTAATATAGATTCAGAAGAAGTTAAGATATCAGTGACAGTTCTAATTGAAGAAGCATATATAGTGCTGTGAGCTGTTTCATCTTAATTAACTAGTATCTTCAGATTTAAGAGTTAGTGCTCTCAGTTCATTCAGTAAGTATCTGTTACATTGAATGATATATCTTACTCTTATTATAAGAGAGCATCTGTCATCAAGTTCTGACTGTCAGAACAGTAGTGTATTATAAAATAAAAGCAGCTTAAGAACTCAGATTATTATATCTATTATTCAGTAAGTTTACAGATAGTTATAAAGTATTTGAGATTTTTATAATCTGTGACTATCTCAAACTCAGAGATACTTCAGAGTTCAGAGTCTCATTCTTCTAAACAGTGTATAATTATAAGAAGTTTCTTATTATAGATCTCATAATTGCATTCAGTAGAACTCAGTTTCTTAGACATGAAGATACATGATTGTAGAACATCTTCATTATTATATTATAATATCACTTCTTCTGTTATATAGTCAGAGAAATCAGCTTTAATAACTGTCTTATAATCAGAATCAAAGATTATCAGCAGAGAAGTATTAATGAATATCTTCTTCATTTATATAAATACAGCTTCAGTATTTATTGATTATTAAAATACTGAGTCTTTCTTAGTGAGATCTGTAAGTGATCTCATGATATCTGAGAAGTTTTGTATAAATCACTGATAGAAGTTAGTAAATCTGATGAAGCTTTGTACATCTTTCACAGTATACAGAGCTTCTCATTCAAGAATGACAGAGACTTTCTCAGAATTCATTTGAATTCCCTTGTCAGCTTCTATAATAAAACTCAGATACTTAGTACTCTTGACTTTAAAATCACACTTATCAATATCTATCAGTAGTTCTGCTTCTTGTAGCTGTTATAATACTTTTTATACATGTTCTTGATATTCTTTTCTGAATTTATTAGTGAAGATGAGAATGTTATCTAGATAAGTAGATACAAACTTATCAAGAAAATCTCAGAGTACTTAGTTGATATACTTCTGAAATGTACTGAAGATGTTAGTCAGTTCAAAGAGTGTGACTATTTATTCAAAGAGACTATAACATGTTCAGAATACTGTAAGTCATTCATCTTTTTTGATAATATGAATCTTATGAAATGCAGTGATGATATCTAGTTTTATAAACTATTAAGCTTATCTGATCTGTGCTAGAGTTTCATTAATAAGAGATAAGAGATATTGATCTTTCTTTGTCAATCTATTCAGATCTTGATAGTTTACACAGAATCAGAGTTCTTTATCTGATTTCTTTGCAAAGAGAATAGAGGCTGCAGTGAAAGAGTTACTAATATATATAAATTCTTTATTTAACAGATCATTGAGTATCTTTTGAAGAAGAAGAAGTTCATTTCAGAACATGTTATAAAGAGAGTCTTATAATAGTTCAGAGTTCTTATCATTCTTTTTCTCTAACTTGATACTGTGATTTACTTCAGAATCTTGTAAGAGAGATATATTTATAATATTATCTTATTAAAAGATATCTAGATATTCATAATATTATTGAGGAAGTTTTATATGAGAATCTGTTATTATAACATGAGATAACTTTTCTAGAGTCTTTTTAATATTGATCAGACTGATGAAATAGATTGATATATAATCTTACTATTGATGACTCTGTCAGTAATTTTGATAATGACTTCTTTTTCAGAGTATTTTATATGTGTTGACAGAGATCTGTGTCAGATTCATGATCTTGTGAATGTCATCTTTGTAAACTCTATTATTGTTAGAGAATATCAAGCTTCTATTTTGAGTATTTAACAAGATGTTTTATTCAGATAGTCAGATAAGTTCTAATATAAGATTATAATAAAGATTATTAACTTTATATATATAGACATCTTCATATTGATGTTCTTCTACATCTATAATCAGCTTCATTATGTAACAGGTACAAATGTCTTTTGAATCATTAAATTCTGCAAGAAGTCAGGGTTTTGATAGAGAAATATACTGAAGATTATAATGTCTTATGAGTCATGACTGAAGATTTTATCATTGTATAGTGATATAGATCACTGTCTATTATGATCTTCATATTATATATGTTATTAATCACAGTAGATATAAGAATTGTATTTATTATTATTCTCTCTTTAAATTGTTGTCATCTGATCTCTTCAAGCTTCTGTTTATGAATTTAAACAGAAGTTAATCTTTTTTCTATTTTATCAGAGTATTCTTATAGTTATTCTCTGAATCTTTCTCTAATGTAATGTAATTGATGTGAACAGGCACTGATTCATTCTTTAAATGAGAAGATACATAGATTAATCAGCAGTTGAAAGCAATATGTTCTGATTAATTACAGTTAATGCATACTCTACATTAATGTTGATCAGTGACTTCTTCAGAAGTGATTTCAGAGACTCAGAAGCCTGTTCAGATAGCAGAAACTCTTGCTTATATATAGATATTTAAGTCTACTCAATTCATGACATCTGTATTATTATTATTTCTCAGTACAGATGTATAAGTTACTGAGATGTAATATCTTCTATCACTGTTCTGTATATTCTTGAGCTTGATAAGATGATCATTCATTGTCTGAAGCTGTATATAGAAGTCTTCATAAGTTAAGTCTTTGTCTATGCTTATAAAAACCTGTAAGAGTTTGAAAGTTAATGTCTTCTTAAGTATGCTAATCTTCATTCAATTCTCTCAAGACTGATCACCTGCTTCTAGAATCTTGATATTGAAGTCAGAGATAAATATTATAAGAAAAGTGTTTCTCTGTCAGATACTCTGTAATTAATTTAATACTTTCTATTATATAATAGTGTCTCAGAACAGAATATTAAGATGTTTCATAATATTATCAGATGTTTATAACACTGATTCACATACTTTTATTCATAAATGAAACTTCTGTTTTATATGATTCTTCAATCATTCATTGATATACTAATCTTGATTAATTAATGAATTAATGAAATCTTTATCTATACTCAGTTTTGTAAGCATTTTCATTCTTTATAATAAGTAGAGAGTGAGATCAGAAGTATTGAAATATATAAGAGTATCTAAGTGTTCTTTTAGTACTTTTATATTCAATTCTGTAGATGCTGAAATTGCATAAGTTTCTTATTATAATAATTATTAAATCTCTTTATATTGATGTTATTGAGTTGCATGCATATCAGCTATTTATTATTATTATAGTTTCAATATTACTCAGAGTCACTGTGACACTGTGTCTATACTCATGTTTAAGAGTTTTATATTATTGTTAGATATGATTATATCAATTATTAAATGTATAATATCTATGAAATCTGAAGAAGTGTAATTATATTCTTATACATCTGAGTGTTAGAACTCTTGAGTCTTTCACTGACATTCTCTTATAAGATCTTATTACAGAGTCAGAGTGACTGATAAGTAAGCTTCTATTTGAAGACTCAGTATCTGCTTAACTGTGTGACTGTTTCTCTATTTCTTATGTATTGTTACACATTTAAATATCTCTTGATAAATAATCATTTCTAATAAGAAGATAATGCATGAATAATTGTTTTCTAATAAGAAGACAATGAATGTTTTTATAGTGTAAGAGGTCTATGCTGAATAGATTGATATAATATTGATAGGTCTTATATAACAAAGATAAAAATGTTAGAGAAGGAAAGAAAGAGAAAGTGTGAGAATCAGCAATTGAGGTGGATATTTATACGCGTATGTGGTGGTGTACGCGGTGGAGCTGAGAATCGGAGTGTATGCTACACACATTCGTAGCGGCCGAGGATCGGCGATCAGGAATGGCCGAGAATCGGAGTGTACACTACGCGCGTTCGTAGCGGCCGCGGATCGGCGATCGGGAATGGAAGAATCTATGGAGTGTAATGGAATAGTCTATATGATTGATCGGCGCAGCCCGACCACACAATTGATTGAAAATCAATTAATAACCAATTCAGTATAAAATTATATAAATACTTACTTTATTATTAAATTCAAGAATAATTTCAGTATTAAAATTGATTTTAAATTGATTTTAAAATTGATTTTGAATTGATTGTAGAATTGATGATAAATAATTGAGTGGTTTCAAATTACAAGAAAAGATGTATTGAGCGAGGTCAGGTAGTGGCACGGGCCACATTTGCGAGGTCAGCTTACATAACGAGGGTCAAGTGGCGCACTTAGCGAGGTCAAGTTTTCTGCTTCCTGTAACGTTGTTATGTTGTGTGTGTGTAATCTATCTACGCAAGTTAACTAATCACCAACAGCTTTCACTTCGCCGCAAACCGCCAGGTCAGCAACCGGTTGCCGTTAAATAAGCGCTCGGCAAACTCTCCAAACTTGAAAGGATACAGAGCACTCGAAATCAACAAAAAACATTATTTCCGCACTCCTCAAAAAAAGACAATTGTATCGACTTTTTGTTTTACTTTGTTTTATCTAGATTGAATCTTAAAATTCCTTCAATTCAGCATCCGAGCGAGTTTACCTTTCCCTGACCCTCCCCCTAACTACACTCTGCAAACAACACGAATCGCTGCGGCAGAAGAATAAGCAGACAATGATGTCCGCGGAAAAGCGTCCTGCGCAGGATGCCTTTGGATCGACCCAGCTGGTCAAAAGGCTGCGGTCAGATTCGAATCTGGGGCACGGGAGTGGGGGCGGGAGTGCAGTTGCGGTTGTAAATAGCTCCGCAGCTTTTATACATGCGGTACGTTTTTAACCAGAAAAAAAAAAAAAAAAAAAAAGGCCATTTGACCTCCCCAGAACGAGATCATAGAAAAAGAAGACGGACGAGAATGAGGATACTGGGAATTTGAGCTTGGAGAAGAATTTGATGGGCTGATGGGTATGCTTCGCTGTTGCTTTGGTACAGATCCCGCGAACGAGTGGTCTCGAAGCGCCGATCATGGAACTTACAGGTGCGTTTCTGAGGTGGTAGGGGAGGCCGAGCATGGTTATATTTCAATGCCAGTTTATGGTAGTGACATTTGGTATCTTGGATAGGACACTCTGGAGAGATTTTTGCTACGAGGTTTGATCCGACTGGTCAGAATATTGCGTCCGGTTCAATGGATAGGTCGATAAGTACGTTACTCTCTCTCTCTCTCTCGCAGTATTCGCCAATGTTTAGTTCGATTATATAACGGAGAGGACTAACTATGGACCTTCCCGGGGAGGGGCATTACAGTGTTATGGCGAACGTACGGACAATGCGAAAACTACGGCGTATTAACCGGACATAAGGGCGCAGTTCTAGATCTACAGTGGTCGCGAGATTCAGAAAACATTTTCTCGGCCTCCGCAGACGTGACCCTTGCCAGGTGGGATGCCAAATCAGGCCAAAGAATACGCCAATTCAAGGGACACGAGAATATCATCAATTGCCTCGACGTCTGCAGGAGGGGCCTGGACCTGGTAATAAGCGGCAGCGACGACGGGTGTGTGGGAGTATGGGACCTGCGGCAAAGGGAAGCCGTTCACTTCCTAGAGTCTGAGATGCCCGTCACGGCCGTCGCGCTGGCAGACGCCAGCAACGAGATATACAGCGGCGGCATCGATAATGACATTCATGTTTGGGACATACGAAAACCCTCCATCATATACTCCATGGTGGGTCACACGGATACGATTTCGTCGCTGAATATCGCGCCGGATTCTCAGATGCTGCTCTCCAATTCTCATGATTCGACCGTGCGCACGTGGGATATCCGACCTGCGGCGCCCGTGAATAGACATATCAAGACATTTGATGGCGCGCCGATTGGGTTGGAGAAGAATCTGATCCGGGCTAGTTGGAATCCGACAGGGGAGAGGATTGCGGCTGGCAGCGGTGATAGAAGTGTTGTTGTGTGGGATGTGAAGTCTGGCAAGTTGCTGTATAAGCTGCCCGGCCATAAAGGTACCGTGAATGATGTACGATTTTCGCCTAGTGATGAGCCTATAAGTAAGTCCAACACAGTGAATTTGATATGTCGAACAAACTGCCCCCCCCCCCCTTTTTTTTTTTTTTCTTTTGTCATCAAAGGGACCCGGTGGTCTGCTAATATACATTTTCCTGCTGCAGTTGTTTCTGGCTCCTCCGATCGAAATATCATGCTTGGGGAGCTTGGAAAATAACAAAATCAGGGGCTCATAATCCTTACGAATTGTTTCATCGATTACCCTGATTTTATCGCATGGTTGATATCATAGATACCATACGTATCAGAAATTGAAGGAAGGGGAATTTATTATTCTAGCCGTGCATTATGCGTATCTCAGAATCGCAAACTTTGACGGCCACTTTTCTCTGACCATTTACCGTAACTCAGTCCCGTTTATAGCCCTTAAAACAAGTTCCAGTGAATTCTTCCCGCGATGGTTCCCGCCTCGGTTTTTCTTTTGTATTTGAAGAGGGGAGTAGCAGGGGTTTCTATTTTAACTTCCCTATGCTGTAGGCATATAAACTAAGTCATACTAAATATAAATATCCTCTTCAAATCAAGTATAGATATAAAAACAACTGAAAAAATATAACAGTTTCAAAATAAGTTATAAAGATCTTTAATCTTCTACTTCTTTATTTCAAACTATTTACGTTTAATATATATATTTCAATATTTTAATAATTTAATTTGTGAAGTGAAGTGAAGGAATATGTTAGATGCTTTCAAAACCCGATTAGAATAGAAGATGAGATCTTGCAGACCTCATTATGTGATATGATTGTGTGGCGGGCTGCGCCCGATCAATCATATAGACTATTCCATTACACTCCATAGATTCCTGCCGAAAGCTCCGATTCTCGGTCGCCGATCCTCGGCCGAAAAACTCACAGAATTCCTATTCTTTCACTTCAGAATTCCTACTTTTCTGCCCTGAAGCTTCACTGTGTACATGTATAAATATCCACTCTGATCACTGATTCCTGCACTTTCTCTTTTTTCCTTCTCTAATGTTTTTCACTCTTGTTATATAAGATCTATATATTAATACTGATCTATTTAGTGTAGATCTCTTACACTTGAAAAATGTTCATTATCTTCTTATTAGAAATAATTATTCATTGAGAAGATATCTGAACATGTAATAAATTACAATATGTAAGAAATAGAGAAATAAACAATCAGTTAAGTGAATACTGAGTCTGTAGATAGAAGCTTACTTATCAGTCACTCTGATCTTATAATAAGCTTTTATAAGAAGAATGTTAGTAAAAGATCTGAGAGTTCTAATATTTTAAATATATGAAATATTTATATAATTACACTTCTTTCAATTCTGATAAATGATATCTATGTCTAATGATAATATAAGAGAACTCTTAAATACAAGTACAGATACAGTGTTACAGTGACTCTGAGTAATGTTGAAATTACAATAGTAATAGATAGCTGATATGCCATCGAAAAGCCCTCGATCATACGAGCATTTTGACCCCATCGCCGACCGCATACCCCGTGTGGTGGTGGAGTTATCCAGCCAAACGTGAACCAGACGTTGTTTGAAACTCCTGTGTGGGATTATCCCCCGTTCTCCCCTACCACACCACAACCCCGGGCCAAATTGCCATACAAATTGTAAGGTGAAGAGACCTAGCCATATGCACCAATCTTCTCAATTTTGGAAGATCCCCAATCTGTAATTGTGGAGATATCTGAGGAGCAATCTCCGCGAAAACCCTGTCCATCTTTGATGTTTCAAAACACCAACACCAAGTCCCACCCTTGTACCGCTCTTCTCAATCTGGCCCATCCCCAGCAGAAAAATACAAAAAGATACCTCAGCAATAATATCAAGCATATAATCAACAGACACTTCTGAAGTGCAATCTTCACAGTCTGTCTTCAGTGTATCTAGACATCAACGCCAAGTCTCACCCTTGTATCACTTCTCTCAATCTGGCCCATTCCTGGCAGAATAATATAAAAAGATACCTCAGTAACAGTATTTAATACATAATCAGTAGACAATGAGTCAACAGAACAAGTTAACAGCATGTTAATAGCTATAAATTCAGTATATCTTAAGATCTGACTGAGCCTTTGATTTCTGCATAGTGAGATATATTAAATTTAGTTTTAATATCTCAATATTCAATAGATTCTGTAAGAGATTAAGAACAGTAATACTAGATTTCTATTGAATTTGAGAATTAACTCTGTATTAATATAATCATTGACAAAGTCTTCTATTTTAAGATATAAATAACCAGTTTCTCTACATCTTACTAATAATATTTATATTATTATATAGAAACAGACTTATATTCTCTATAATATCAAGACTCTGAAGAGAAAAAGTCTTGATAGAGAGTATATAGTAGTATATATCTTAGCAGTTTCTATCTCATTCTTCTGCAGCAGTTATTATAAAAAAAAGATCTTAGAAATAGTTTTTTACTTCTCTTGAAAAACTAAGTTGTTTTTCTCTGAATTTTACATAATATTCTTACAAAGAATTAAAAACAGAGCTGTTTTCTATTATAATTTTATATTCTTTTAAGTAAGAATTACTTTTTCAGTCACTGAAGAGCTTTTATTAATACTTAATTCTTTTTTACACTCTTTATTAACTGATTTGAGATGCACACTTGTTGTGTGAGAAGAATTGAATGATTTAGAATAAAATTGAATAGTTTTAATCAATTTCTCTGTAAAAAATTGATTTATTTTTTATCAGTTTTTCTCTTAAAAACTTTCATATTATCTGATTTATTATTAATTGATATCATACTTTTTCTCACTGTATTTCAAGAAAGAGATTGTAAAGATTTTATTGATTTATCTTAAAAATCAATTTTAGTTTATTAGATTCTCTTCAAAAATCTAACCTAGTTACTGAACTAGTGTGAAAAAAATCAGGTGTTTTATACATAAAAGTCTTTTATTCTTCTTTTGAAACAGTCTGATCAACTTTTCAATTTAAAAGAGTTCAATAAATATCTCAATTGAATCAGTCTGATCAACTTTTCATTGAGTAAGAACAATGAGTTCAAAAATACACTCAGTTAATATGAAAAAAGATGCTTTCTCAAATGCTATTTCTGACATTGAAATTCTAAAGAGAAGAAAGAAAGAAGAAATAGAGAAATAACAAGTTCTTAAAATACAGAAACTTGAAAAAGTAAGCAAGATTCTTGAAAAGCAGTGTCTGAGTGAGATAAATAAAGAAGTTCTGTTAATTCTTCATACTCAGACTAGACAACTACAGAAGATGATTAAGTTCAAACTTGAAATTTCAAACACAGTTCTAAAAACTTTGAAAATTTCTAATACAATCACTGCAGTATACATCATCTGTAGTGTATACTGATCACGTATTATACATGTAAAAAGGTAAATCTTGTCTTATTCTTCAAGATGGAGATGAGCGGACGCCTCTATATATATATATATACATACTTGTTTGTTTATTGTGATTGACTTTTACAGAAGGAAGAAGCGGAAGCCTCAGAAAGAAAGAGGCAGAAGTCTCAGAAAGAAAGAGATGAAAGTCTCAGAAAGAAGTGACAGTCTCAGAAAGAAAGAGATAAAAGCCTCAGAAAGAAAGAGACAGAAGTCTCAAAAAGAAGCAGAAGTCTTAAAAAGAAAGAAGTGAAAGCTCTGAGAAGTAGTAAGAGTGAATATCACAGTCTCTCTGTCTGAAAAGAGACAGATGCCTGAAAATGAGATGACAGAAAAAAAAGCTAAATCTAATAAGAAATGAGCTAGGCATTTTTCAGATACAGATTAATATTCTTCTTATATAAGAAATAGATAAAGAAAGGAATTGAAACAATGAGATAATAATAACATAATAATAAAGAGTCTGAGACAATAAGACAATAGATATCATAGAGAATCTTTGTCTTTCACAGATATTATACAGATATAATAAGATAATAATGAAATAATAACTATGAATGAGATAAAGAGTCTGAGACAACAAGATAATAGAAGTTATAAGAATGAATAAATAGATGAAAGATGAAGAACTGTAAAATTCAGAGTGAATACATATAAAAGAGAATAAGAAAATTAAGAATAATAAAGAGACAGATCTTCTGTCAGAAGACTAAGAGTGATGTAAGTGAATAATTTATAAGTATATAATATAATCAGTTATCTCTCTCTTCTTATTTTTTTTTCACTTTCTTATTATCTTTTCATCATCATTCTTATTATTATAAAAAATTTTTCATTGAAATCTAGAGAACTTACAGTAATGAGTTCAAGAAAGATATTCAGAATATTAGATATAAGAGAAGTAATTGATCAGATTGATTATCTTGACAGAGATAATATAAGAAGAGTATTAAAAAGATTATTTCAGTTATTGAGTCAGAAAGAGTATAATACTCTTCTTGAGACTGCAGAGAAGATAAATGAAATTGAAGAGTCAGAATCTCATTCTTCAATGTCTAAAATAGTTGCAAGAAGTGATGAGAAAAAGACAGTTATATCTTGTCATCAGTTGACTAGATTATATGATTAGAAAGCTATAAATGAGTCAGTGAAGAAATCTGAGAACAGAAGCTCAAAAGATTCAGATATAACTGTAGAGAGATTTAAATGAAAGTTTATTACATTATTTACTAAGCTGAAGAAGTTATAGTCTTTAAATACATGTGAGTTCTCTGACAGAGATATAGATGTGAAGATAGTAACTGAAGACAAGATAAAGTCAGTAGCTCAGATAGAAGTGAAAGTGAAGTCAGTGATAAAAGATATTTATAAGAAGAAAGATAAAGAGAAATCAGAGCTGACTGAAGCAGATAAATAGTGATAAAGAGATAGTCAGAAGTAATATAGTATATTAAAGAATAATATACTGAGAAGAATAGAATGAAAGAGAGTTATTAAAGATAATCAGATATCTTAACTGTGAGATATAACTTATATACACTATCTGTATTATAATGATAAAACTGATCTACACTTTCAGAAGAATGAGAAGTCAGCCTGGCTAAGTATATTGATAATACAGAATTCAACTGTAGAAGATCTTACAGATACTGTATCAATTATTAAAAGACTCACAGAACACAGTGAGAAAATATTATTTATAAATCATGAATTTTTTATTCTACTCAGTCAGTGATTGATTAAGTAGCTAGAATAAATATCTGTATTATAAAAGTTACAGTGATGAATAATAAATAATAACTTAATTATTCTAAGAACAGTTAATCTCAAAGATTCAGTCAATCAGAATGTTGTTATTCTTCAAACTCATAGAGAAGTAGTTCTCACATCTTATCAGTCTTATACAGTAAGTTATGAGTGATTTAAAGAGTGTATGATTACTTCTTCAGATAATAATCAGACTTAGCAGAGACATAATGCTTATATCAACTGTTAGTGAGATAATAAGAATACTCACTGTTCTTTAAATTATTATAGCTGATACAGATTTGAAAAAAACACTAACAATCTACTGTTTAAAGAAAGTGTGCTGAGATTTAAGAAGACTGTGAGTGCAGACAGAGATAACACTATCAAAGATAGTGATACAGATGAAAACAATTTAATCTTTATCTCTACTGAGAAGACACTTACTCTCTTGAAATGAAAGACCTT